TTATGGAAACCCGTGTTGGCACTTATGGAAACCCGTGTTCAATTATGGAAACCCGTGTTCAATCATGGAAACCCGTGTCTCCCGCCCGCCGCTCGAACGCAACTTATTTCGAAACTGGCGTGCAAACGTTTTATCGGTGAGCCTGCAGAAAGTGTCGCCGACTGATATTTGTGCCTCGGTTGCTGGATTTCGTGGGGGCTGTTGGCGTGGGCGCCGCCATGGTTTGTGCCACCACGTTTGGGACCCGACCTCGTGCCAGCAGGCCTGCCACCCCATGTAGACCGTTGAAAGCCCTCTCGCCCTCGAGGCACACCTTGCAAGGGCTCCTAAGTTCGCGCTTCGCGCTGCGCGAAGCGCGAAGCGCGAATAACTTCGCGCCCTCGCGCCGCCCCCCCAAAGGGAGAAAAGGAGGACGAGGAGGAGGGGGAGAAGGAACGAGGACCGCGAAGCGCGAAGCGCGAATAACTTCGCGCCCTCGAGGGAGCCCTTGCCTTGAAACATTCGAAGAAGCGTGTGCTACCGCCGCTGGCGGAAAACCAAGGCGGGGCTACTAGGGGTTCCCAACCCGCCCCCCTCCCTCTCAAAAACCGAGGGGGGTCACTACCGGTTCGAACCCTCCCCTCCCCTTCCCCGCGTCCATCATGAAAAGGAAGAAGGGTCACTACCGGTTCGACCCTCCTTCACTTCCTCCCTCGCCGCCAGCGAAACGATTCCCGCTCTTCGAGACAGTTTAACAATAGTGGAGATATTGCGACAGTGGTGGTGTGGGGACAGTGGGACGGTGGGACAATGGTGCGGACAGTGGGACAGTAGTGGGGACGGTGGTAATGGGAACAGTAGCGAGGGGACACAATGGGACAGTGGTGGGGCGGTGGTGAAGACGGTAGTGGGATAGTCGTAGAGAGAGGAGAGTGGTGGTGGTGGGGACGGTGGGGACAGTGAGACAGCACAGTGGGACAACGGTGGGGACAGTGGGGACAATGTGACAATGGTGGGAGCAATAAGGACAGTGAGAGAATGGTGGGGACAATGGGGACAATGGGGAGAGCGGGACCGTGGCGGGACAAAGGCGGGGACAATGGGGACAGCGAGACACTGGTTGGAGCGTGAGTGAGTGAGTGAGACACTGCTTGGACGGTGGTGGGACAATGAGACAGAGGTACAGTGGGGACAGTGGTGGGGACAGAACAGTGGTGAGGACAGTGGGGACAGTCCGACAGTGGTGGGGGCACTGGTGGGGACAGTGGGGATGGTGGTGGGAGTACTAGGGACAATGGTGGTGGGGACGGTGGTGCTGGGGACGGTGGGGGATGTGGTGCATGAGTGTGGGGGGTTCGAACCTGTAGTGACCCCCTCCGGTTTTCTAGAGAGGGGAAGGAGGGAGGGGTTCGAACCGGTAGTGACCCCCTCCGGTTTTCCGGGGAGGGGCAAAGAGGGGTTCGAATTGGTACTGACCCCCTTCGGTTTTCTGGAGGGTGGGATTTAGAGGGGTGTTATGGGGATTGGAAGTCCCGGAGGGCGAGCAGCATGGGTTTTGTAGGATCTGCTGGGCGGAGGGCTGGATTTCGGAGTTCGTAGCCGTTCCTGGAGCCAGCGCATTGGAGTTGAGGGCCCTGCCTGTATGGCTGAGTTCTCCTTGATTGATGAGCGCATGCGCTCTATCGAACCTCTGTGATTCCGACTCGGTTTTCTGAGTGAACTTATGATTCTGCGTACCCCGGGTACTCTGCAGCAGCTTGTCCCAAGCACTACAATCAAAAGCCGTGACACGCGCTCGTAGTTCGCGTTCGCCTGTTTCCCCGCCATGTTTTGTGTGATGCAATAACAGTCGGGGCAACATCAGGAAGAGAGTCCAAGTTTGCACTCGGGCATTGCTGTTGACAGTACTTTTTTTCATGCGCTTTGTACGCCATCTCGATCACCACCAAGGTCTGCGTCAAAATGCGCATAAATAACGGCCTGATGCATTTCGGGACCGCTTTGAGGGTTCGGGCCCGGGCGCAAATCTCATCAAGCAGATTTACCCCTTCCAAGTGCCTCCGTCCATCTGGTAGTTGAGCGATGCCGGGAGGACGATCTGCTGGGCCGGCGTTCTGGTGTCGTTGTCCAGCTCGGGCTTCAGGACAAGCAGGGCGTGGTGGTTGAGGTGAGCGTGACAACGTATTCGATTGCTAAGAATGCCCGTTAGTCTGGCAATTGATGCACTATGATGGTGATCGTGGTCTTGGCTGCTTCGATCACTGAAGCTTCTCTTGCTTGCCCAAGTCGGAGTACGAAACACCATTGCATCGCCCTCGCCCCGCCAGCGCAAATAAAATGCTGGTGTCTTGAAGAAGATGCGTTCTTTGAGGCTTTATGTGACGTGGCTGTGGCATACGACGGACCAGACCACGTGTTCATGCACTTCTAGCTTCCACTACAGATAGTCGTACGCACGCACTGCACACGGAGCTCGTGGCAACTCGTGGCAGCTTGGAGGCAAGTATTTGTCGAGGCTGGAAGGTGCATCCCCGACGGGAATGTTGAGCGTATGCTTAATCGAACTCATCTGCTCGTGAGCGCAGATGATCATCGCCGGATCGACCTTGTGGTTCCTTGTCTCAACGTGGCCGAAGGTTTACCACTCTTCTGCGACATTACGGTACTATCACTCATATCGGGCAATGCGCTGCCCAGACCAAGAATAAGTAATATAATAGTGGGGGGCGCTTACTCGAGCAAGCTCGTAGAAAGAACGACTCCGATTACGCAGTATTTACTACAACGGGAAGAAGGTTTGGGTGTTGAGGTCTACGCGAGGTGGGGAGAACAAATAATCGAATTGATACCAAAGTTAGGTAGGGAACGCAGTAGAGGGCTCCATCCGCATATCCGCCGCGGCATACTTCAGGGTATCAACACCGTTGGGGGGCAAATGTTCTTGGGATTGCGCTGCAGATAGCAGTAACGCGGTCCGCTTTGAACGCGCACGGGGATTTGCCTAAAACATTGCTGGAACCTCCGCTCGGGCTGGCGGAATTAGATGCAATCTAATTCGCCAGCTAGGCTTTTTTTGAGGCCTCCTTCCTCCTCCTCCTCCTCCTCCTCCTTCTCCTCCTCTTCCTTCCTCCACCGCTGCTTAGCGTAACTCGCTTGTGGCACAAGCCGTTTCACCCGCGCTCTAATTTCGAGCGTTCTTTGGCACCTCCTGGTCCAATGCTGGGGCGCAGGGAAAAAATTGAAAAAGATGAACGGCAAGATACGCGGCAGTGCGTTAAGCGATACATTTAGGCGACTTCGGGTACGCTCCGTCTGAGCCCGCAACCCACCTGTACAGATCCTTTGCTGTAGAAATGTTGTCAATATTTTCAATCGATGCCTTATCTTGGTACGCGCAGATGTCCGGGCATTTGTCCACCATTACGCCGCAATGTGGACATTGGCGCATGCCAGCACGGAAGCTGTCCAATCGCATGCAAACGTATCTTCCTTCGTCCGTCCACGGTCGGTCATTCAGGCGTAAGGCATAGTTCTTGACAAACTTTCGTCCGACTGTAGAAACAAAACCACAACACCAAGTATTTCGAGTTTCATCTCCTTTTGCGTCCAGTTGCCATCGTAGATGTTATGCCATGTTGTGGAGAATGAGGCATCATTATCATTGCCGACGTTGGTGCAAAAGGGCGATCATATCAATGTATGCCCACTTGGGGATCTCCTTGGAAACGACGGAGGATCTCCTGGGGCGAAGATCTCGGGTTCGCGGCTCACGTTCCCGAGCCTGCGCCGCGAGTAGGGCCCTCTCGGGCCGTCTTGGACGTCCCTTCGGCCGTTTTGGAGCTGTCTTCGGGCCGTCTTAGGGCGCTTTTGCAGCCTATTGGGCCGTCTTGGGGCGATCCTCGGGGACTCTTGGCGCGTCTTGCAGCGTCGGAATACGGAACAAGCGGAAACGCCAAACTTGTTCAGAAAACGATGGAACATCAATATTTGTTGGCCTCCTCGAACACTCTTGGGAGACATCCTGGACGCCTCTTGGCGGCCTCTTGGGCCACCTGGAGGCCGTACAGAGACAGACACAAACACAAACACAAACACAGATACATAAAAAACACAAACACAGACACACAGACACACAGACACACAGACTCAGACGCAGGCGCAGACACAGACACAGAAGCAGACGCACAGACACAGACACATACACAGACGCAGACGAAAACGCAAGCGCAGACGCAGACGCAGACGCAGACACGGACACACACACACACACAGACACAGACACAGACACACACACAAAGACACACATACACGCACCACACACACAAGCACTCACACAAACGAATAGACACGAATCCCAGGACCCCCCACATTTCCAATATTTTCTTGGTTTTCGTCCTACCCCCAGTTTCCTCATCTTCTCATATTTTTCGGGGAATCGGCGCCTGTTTGTGCCTGCGTTTTTTTTCCACTCCTGAAGTTTTCCCACGCCGACTGGGACTCTACTTCGTTTTCCTCCTCTCCTCCTCCTCCTCCTCTTCCTCCTCCTCCTCCTCCTCCTCCTGCATCCAACGGAAGTTCGTCGGCCCTCGACGACATGCCCCTGGGGGGCAACTTCCACACAGCGCGAAGGAGAGAACCCTCGGCCCACGCCCTCTCTCCAGGCACATCGGAGGATGTCAGGGAAAGGGTACGAGGAGGAAGTCAGGGACGAGGAGGAGGAGGAGGAGGACGAGGATATCGGAGGATGTCCAGGCAGATCGGGACGAGGAAGATGGGCGCAACGGCGCTTGCGCATGACCTGACATGGCTCGTGGGCGGATGCCCCCTCGTTCCGACGGATGGGCACACGTCCCCGTGCGCACCCCGGCTGCTCTGAGTGCTGATGTTGACACCGACCCCGAGAACACGGTCGATGTCGCTCGAAGACGCTTGCGCGAGGCTGCATCAACAGCAGCATTCCGTAATACGTAATAGTGCCCTTGAGCAATTAGAGCAAGAAGCAACGGCATATACACAAACTT